ATTACTTATTATAAGTAGACTGCAGCATTCCCTTGGGATTGTCACATTGGCGAGCATGTCAAGTGGGAGAAAACAAGGGCATTTCGTTTTCTCACCCCATGTAAGCGAATCCGGAATCCGGAATCCCTCAAATCCAGAATCCAAATTTTACTTAGTACAAAGACTGGAATCCAGAATCCAAAACTGTCTTAGATTCCCTCCCTCTAGTCCTGCCTAGCCTTGACTTGACGGACTGAAATGACTGCTCATAGTATATGTAAACCTTTACTCTGAATTTTGTTTTTAAGTTCCCACTATAGCTAGTCCTGTCAAAGCTGGTGGATAGATCAAAGAGACTCAGTCATATCTGAGTAATGTCAAATCCAAAGGAAAAATTTTCACAGGTTTTTGTTTGTTCGTATAAGGGAAGTTCAGAAGCCGTGTTAACCCATGGATGTTCTCTTTCCTTAAGTGACGTTCTCAGAGTTACATGTACCCTGCGGGCATGGCTTCAAAGGCACTTTCCAAGCAAAAAAAATTAAATGAAATAAAAGCTAATTTAATTATGGAAAGTTGTCTATGCTCTATTGAGACCTACAATATATTATTTATCAAATGAAATAACAAACAAAACAATAGAGGGCATAAAAGCAGGATACAACTATCATAAAAAAAGAAAGAACAGAGATTACCTGAAGATTATCGATTGGTTTAGCCAACTCATCACCTATTGGTGGAGATGGTTGACCTGGTCTGTTAGACATGACACTTGCTGCTTGGGAGTTTAGTCCATATAATACAGTCTCACTGGAGATCTCCCCAAGTAGCTCTGTTAACAGATAAGGCTCAATTTCAAAGCCACTGCAAATGAAAATTGGAAAAAAATACAAAATGGTTAATGTTTTTTCTACAGTGGAATTAACAGTGTTCTTACCAGGATTTTCTACACTGGGGTGTATAGGACCCATAGAGAGGCTAAAAGGGGGTCATGGGGGCGGGGGGGGGGGGGAGCAGGTCACAATTTTTAGATACAGTTAACTTAACATTTTACTCACTGTCACAAGTCTCAGCTAGAGTAAATACCTTGCACCTTCTTTGACAATAAAAGTTAACGCAATGTTTTTCAGGTCTGAGTTAGTGTAAATAAAGTTAACTCAATGTTTTTCAGGTCTGAGTTAGTGTAAATAACTCATACTTTCTTAGATAATAGATGTCCAAAGTCTGAATGATAAACGTCAAATATCAATTTTTTATTATTGGTCCTACTGATTTTATGAATTGCACCCTTGGGACCCCTTGGGCTAATGATAGTGTGGTATCTCCCTCAAAAGTGTGGCAATGTTGCAATGCTGCAGTCTGGTATATAAAGAACATTGAATTAAACATAGCTTTTGCAGGTAGTTTACAGGCACTCCACTTAATTAGTAAGATATTAAGTAGAAATAACTATTGCCAAAGAATGACAGGACAGGATTAAAAACTCCAACTGCTGGGCCAGAGGCAGCCAATTGTTTATTCACAAGGCCCATTCAAGGAGTTAAATTTAGGACAACCAACAGAAAAATCCAGCTACTGGATGGAGCAAGACTCAAACCTTGTGCTGACCTTTTGACCATACTGCATTTTTGAAAATAAACACAATCAGATGATTGTAATAATACAATATACTCACAAAGGGGTCATAACAGTGTCCACCTCTTCCCCATCAGCAGATTTTCTACCAGAACTAACTTTAATTCCAGCTGTCACCTGGAACAATCTCCCTTCATCTGAAGTCAGTAAATTAAATCAAGAAAAATTTATGTGTGTGTTACAAGATAATATTAAAGTACCTTTAATCCTGCCAGGTCAATATTGCAAAGGTGAAGTGGTACATGTATAAACTGCATTTAAACTACATGACAAATACTTATTTTAAAGAGGACACACCTTGCCTGAGTTCCCCATCAGCTGTGACACATTCAACTTCAAATCCAAAAGGCCTACCCTGTACAACTTCAACATTTTCATCTCCAACAATACGTATTTGAACAGTCTCCACTGAAAAGTAAATTTGAATCATTCTTCAGGATCTTCATTCATAGGTCATATTTTCTTGGAAGTGCATGAATAATAAACACTTATTGGATGAGGTTTTTGCGATATGTGGAATAATCAAGGTCGAGGTACATTGTGTAATTAGTGTTATCAGCCAAGCCGAAGGTCGAAGCTGATAACAGTTACCGAGACCTTGATTATTTAGGATATATCACAAAAACCGAATCTAATAATAGTTTTATTATACATGGTTTTGAAGAAAATGATGACAAACACACCATCGCAAGGAGCCTGAATTGGTGTTGTTATAGGAAATCATGCATTGCGCATGCAGCCCACAGATTAGTCAGTTATCTGCTAGCAGATAACAAGCTAATCTGTAGGTTGTGCTGATTTCCAAATTTAGCTGTAGGCTCTTAGCCAATGAGAAGACAAATAATGAGTACAATGTATAATAATTAACAATTATTGGATGAGGCCAAGGCAGATTACATGCTCCACGATCTCCAAAATTCTTCAGATGACCGATACAAAAGCCAAATTCAAATTATTGTTTTATTATTCATTCAAAATAATTCCTAGTTTAAAAACAACCTAAAACAAGCTTCCATTGATGTTAAGTTCATCTTCAATTGCCTGTTTATTGGCAAGTTTAGGAGATAAAGGGTTGCTCAGTATTGCATATATTCTCCAAATAGCCCATGTCATCTGTTGAGTTGTCTTCTTGCTGTTCTTGCTGTGTTCAATAGTTTGTCTACTTCTACCTTGTGAAATGAGTGAAATGTTCGGCCACTTTGTAGTCACTATCAAAACAACTCAACCTTGTCCCCAGGTCTTCTCAGTTAACTGTTCAGTTTTCTGGCATGCAGCACAGTTAACGTCATTTATCACATATTGCAAAATTCTTCCAAATTTGGTCGACAGTAGCTGATTATGAGGAATTATGCGTGCGATTTTAGCCAATCAGAAATGGAGAAATACTTTGAATGAATAATAATTTTTTTCATTATTATTCACTCCCTTCCCTCGTCTAAAGTTATATGGCACTCACTGGAATTCTTCATCTTTTTTGTATAATTTTGTGTAAATTTCTAAAATATTTCTGCAGCTCCAAAGGTCTTCTTTTTGAATTAGCTCTTTCATCTTTTCCTGACTGCTCACTTCAATAATTCTCCACTACTAAAACTCTTAAGTTGTTTAAAAAAGTTGAGATTGCTGCAAAACTCATTTCCCATTCCACATATTTGTAAGTTTTCAATTTATTTACGGCTATAAAATGCTAAAATACCCTCAACTGTCTTTCAAAAAGGACTTAACTCCTCTTGAAATGTAATTTGAAGAGGCTCAAGGTACAACTCAAGGAATTAACAGACTCAGATAAATCAATTACTCAAAAGGCTTAAACATTTTTGTAGTGGGAGACTTTTCTCACCTTCAGGCCTTCCATTAACCCACATCCCCTCATACGATACACCTGAAGAATGAATCATGGAACCTTCACCATTGAACACATCTCCCCACCACTGACCCTAACAAATTAAAAAAATACAAAACATACATTGTAATCCATGACAAAGTGAAAGCAAAGTCAGAGTATGAAAAATCATTAATTTGTTCTAAATAATTTAGGACAAATTGTCACTGTTAATATGTAAGAGTTCCTTTTCATACCCCATAAATTGTTCCATCTACAAACTTCATTATTCCGTGTCCTTGACGTAAATCGTTAACCCAGTCTCCTTCATAAATATCACCATTGCTGATGGGAGAAAACAAAAGAGAGAAATTGGTTCCAATCAGGCCTTAAACCAGATTACATGAGAACTGGACATCCAGGAGGCATGTTTTGCCATCAAGTTACAAGAGATTATTGAGTGAATTTTAATGTTGACAAAACCTAGATTGGAGGATGAAGAATTAGCCCAGTTGATTAGTGCTCAGCCTTCTGTGCAGGAGGTCTCGAGTTTGATTCCCAGGTGTGCCCACAAATCCTTCTTTTGACTTCTTTCCCGTCTGTGTAGCTTTAAGTAGCTTTAAATACCCATAAAATGGAGCACTGATGAAGGGGGAGGGGGGATAAAATGAGCGCACCATCTGCCTTAGGTTCGCTAGTCAGATGACTATTTCAAGCTACCAACGTAAAATAAAGACTCTTTACCATTTCTTCTTTTACCTTAGTTTTTTATTGGATCAGACTGGATTTGACCTGTGGCTGGGGCCCCTAGCTGTGCACCAAAAAAAAAAACAATAATCACTTCCACCCGTAATTTGCCACTATTATCTCGTCTTTAAGATGAAAAGTTTTTCATTTTCTGTTGTCTAGAGTGAACAAACTCAACCACAATGTCTTGCATTGCCAAATTTTTGCACTTGTTTGTCCCCTGAGAAATGATGTGACATTGCTTTTATCGCATAAGTCCTTCAGCGCATGCAAAGATAGTGGGTATCATGAATAACGTCTATTGTGAGCCTGAGTTATTACAGCTCCTAACCTAAACATTAATTTGCCTTCCCCATGTCTTCGGTGGTTATGGAAAGATCCTTCATAAACTGTTCCATCTTTACTGATGAGTTTTCCCTCACCTGACAAGGAAAGGCAGTAAACATTGCTGAGTAGTAAAATACAGTGGAACCTCATTAATGCGACCACCATAGGGCCATAAAATCCTGGTCGTAACAACGAGGTGGTCATCTTAACGGGGTCTTCAAAGTAATAAAATGACTCAGTGATTTTTAAGTTTGGGTCAAAAGATTATGGTCTTAACAACAAGGTAGTCATATAAACTGGGTGGTCACAAGACAGGGTTCCACTGTACTCCCTTTTTACCAACATATGGCTAGCTCCACAGAAGCGCAAGATTTAGCAGATCCTGTGTTCTGATTGGCTGTCAGCCTACATCGCAGACTTAATCCAACCCTGGTCAGCAACGTCTGCAAGGCAGCGCCTAGATAGCCTGATTTAGCAACAGAACAGGAATGTCATGTGACAACGGGAAAGTGCACGAAAAGGACTAAACTCGACTTCCAGTGCCAAATTGGCCGTTCTGCCATTGGTCAAGACAGTTGTTTGATTTGCACGCCCAGTCACCAACTGGCATTCCCATTCTGTTGCTAAATCAGCCTAATATTCTTGCTCTGGAAATGCCATTCAAATTTCTTTTTAAACCTGACTGGGAAATCGACAATAGTTTCTTTAACAGGTCAATCATGATGCATACTCAAATCCTGGTACACAGCTGGGGACCTAGAACAAGGACTTCAGCATTGTTTCCCAGACGGACTTATTAACCAGAAGTTAAGATCTGTCTGTGACAAAGACCAATTGGCTACCTGACTGGGTAAAATGGAGCTATGTAAAAAATTTATCAAAGGGTTTCCTCGTGGTTAATTTAAAGTTCTCTGTGAAAGTGGCTTTTACGGTTAGCCATGAGCGAAATTGAAATTGCAGTAAGCAGAATTGAAATTGCAGTGAGCAAATATTGAAACTGCCAGGAGGGAAATTGTAATTGCCATGACACTTTTAAGCCACCATAGGGCTTTCAATAATTTATTATTGCACATGGAATGGATATGCTTTACCTTCTCGTTTATTGTCAACCCATTCTCCTTCATAACGAGATCCATCACCATACATCATGATACCGTGACCATTCAGTTCTCCCGAGACAAACTGTCCCGTGTATTCATTTTTTGTTGACACCCATCGACGAAAACCATGTCCCTGGATTTCACCATCCATAAACTGCCCTTCATAAAAACTGCCATCTGCCATAACAAGTTTGCCATGACCTTAAATAGAAAATAAAATCAGTATTCATATGTATAATAATATGGTAAAAATTGGTCTCAGATCAAGCCAGGACTCTTTCTCTGTCATTGAGGCCTCATCTTTTGTCAACTGTGCTATTTTTTGTTTGTGCATCTTTGTGAAACTTTCCCAGTAAGCAAATTGTTGGAGTACTGTAATCAAAGGAGCAGTATCAATACTAGCAAAGATCCCCCAAAAAGAGCTCTTTGTTATTCTATTTCCCATGGAATTACATTACATTCCCCCAAACCTCAGCTCAACCTTGTTCTGAGGGTTCTCTCCTACCCATCCCTATGGGTACAAACAAAGGCTGGTAGGAGAGAACCTTGGTAATGAGGTTGACCACAGCTACACACACAATGAGTTGGGCTCATCTTCTTAATCTTGTTTTCAAGGCTTTATCATCTGATGCCTGAAGATCAATGAGGTTGTCCACACACGTCTGTAACATTCTAATGCTGCAAAACGATTAGTTACCCCACCAGAGAATGGCAGCTTTCAAGATAGTGCTGCACAGCTTTTCAATAGTATTCCTGTTCACATCAGAAATAGCACCGATTTTCATTACTTCTTTTGTAAGACACACTCTTTTCCTTGAAATCGTATTCAGTAATTAATCCTAGGTGTGTTTCTGTGAAATAAATTTACTATTTCCCTGAAAGGACGAGGTGCAGTTGCGCTAGCCTTATGCTATAACTTTTCTTAAATCATTTTACGTACTTTAGATTAGATTAGATTTGATTTATTTATTTCTTGTTTTTATTTCTTTCACATTTTTATTTGTTTAATGGTTTTATATCTGTTATATCTTTTTAATCAGCCACTTGTAGATACCTTATTATATGTACATAATTCTAATATAATACTATATTAAGTTATCCTTCTAATTTTTAGTTAGTAGTTTTAGTATGTTCAGAAGAAGAGCCACTTACGTGGATACGTTCGCACTAAACTATTATTATTACTATTATTATTATTACTATTATTATTATTATTATTATTAATATTATTATTATTATTATTATTATGATTATTATTATTATTATTATTATTATTATTAGTATTATTATTATTATTATTATTATTACTACTATCACTTCCCTCAGACATATTTTAAAGGCCTATTTAAGCTTATATTCATTCCAAGAGAAATACAAGTAACAACTACCCACCATGTTTCTTGCCCTTGCTCCACTCTCCTTCATATCTGAAGAATTTGTTGGGGTAATTATAAACACCAAAACCTTAAAAAATAACCTTATTTGTTACACAAAACATGAACCAATGCTGAGAAGAAACGAAGGGCTGAAACAGCTGACTGATCTGGACTGATCTTACCGTCTCTAAGCTGCTTTTTGGTTTCACCAATGTAATTTCCTGCTCCTTTGGATGTTGTGGTGTTAAATATTGTTGCCATTCTTAAAGAATGCTTTCTACAGCAAAGCTAATGTTGTGTTTTAATTTTAATAACAGATTCACCAAAACTATCGTCAACTTCATCCGCCATTTTTGTTGTCGAGTGGTTGCTAAGCAGGCGGGCGCTTACGCCAGCGACTGTCTACGCCAGCGGACTTCTTATGAAGTGGTATCTTTCAAAATGGCTGCCGTTTCTGCTATAACATCGGGCATAACATGTGTCTTTATAGTTTAGAATCTAACAGAAATCCCCTTCGAAAATGACAGAACAAGACGGAGATTTCATTCAGGGAACTTGTATGCAAATGTGTCCTCAGAGGGAGGTCTTATCACGAGAAAAACAGCGACGACTTCACTTCTTCGAAACCGTTGCGTTTACATCGCGTTCTACAAATTCAAACATTTCGCAACAAGACAAACTAACAGCAGATCCGAGGGCCGTAGTTAAGGAATTTACTCGCTCAGCGGCAGGCAAAGCTATTGATCCTTCAGAACTTAGGCCATTTCATGTACTTCTGCGGACGGTAAATTATCTGATTGACGTAATTGCTTCCAAAGATGGGGACTACCCATGGCATATGATTTACTTGTTCGTTTTCGACAGGACGAGATCTGTTAGACAAGATCTAGTTGTACAAAGAATCAGCGGAAAGCCTGTTGTTGAAATTTTCGAGAAAATATGCAGGTTTCACATTATCAGCGGCTACCAGCTATGTGAAAGTACCATCGATGTGTTTGACGGAAAAATCAACAATGATCACCTTGCAGAGTGCTTAAAGAGACTTCTGTGTTTCTATGACATGGAGCAGCCTGCCACTTATAGAGAAACCAGAGCAGAGTTCGAAGCGTACTACTTGTTACACAATTTGGGCTCAGTTGAGGCATTAGCGCGAGCTGTGACTTTGCCTGAAGAAATCAAGAGAAGTTGCCTGGTTCAGTTAGCATTTGACATTAACTTGACTATACTGCTTAGAAACTATGTACGTTTCTTCAGACTTGTCAAGTCTCTGCCTTATCTAGCATGCTGTGCTGTTCATAAGCACTTCAATCATGTGAGAGCTGATGCTCTTGCCACCATAAACACAGCTTATTTCAGCCGTAATGCAAGCCTTCCCCTAACACTGTTGGTTGAAATGTTGAATTTCAATGATGTTCAAGAGGCTAAAGAATTCTGTTCTTGTTCTGGCTTAGAAGCATCTGATACAACAGTGAAATTTGTCAAGGGGCAATTGAACAATGCTCACACGCACAGAACAAGGTTTTCAGGCATGATTGACACAAAACTGTCCGGCAGAATAAGTGGCATAATCAGTGGGAGGGATAATAGTTGTAGAACATTTCAATTTCCCTCTCAAAACAAGAGATCAGAAGAGTGCAGCAATGATGAGAAAATGCATGGAGTTTCAAAGCCAGTATCAAATTTAAAAACCCAACAGAGCTGGTTTGGTAAAGGTAGAGGAAAGGGAAGAGGAAGGGGATGGAAGCTTTTTCAATAGCCACTGTAAATTTCCGTTTTCACCATTTGCGCCTGGGGGGGAGAGAGTACTCCCCTACAAGAGGCTAATGGGGATGTGCCGCTGGATGGGGTTGCATTTTCACGAGAGTGACTATAATGGGGTTGCATTTTCAATAGAGTTACTAGAGTGGGGTCGCATATTTTCAGATTTTTGGGGTAAGTAGGGATTCAAAATGGGAAGATTCTTAGCCTGAAAAAAAATCAGAAATTTGTTGTTTATTAAATTTATCAATAAGCTTGCATTGACCGCATTACATTCCGTCAGTTGAAACCACGTTGATAAGGTAGATGCATAAATAGAAAGTGACTAAGATGGGGTCTATAATTGGCCAAAAAATAGGGGGCTCTGAGAGGCCAGTGGCACATACCCTTTGTGTGTAAATGAAGAAGTAGTTTATTGTGTTACAGTTATGCAGATTGTTAACAAGTTATACATTCATTTTGTATTTAATGGTCAGCCCATTGTCTCATCTTGGTCAAACAATGTTTTGGGTTATGGAGAATATCCAAACTGAACAGTCCCTCCTGTTTACACCACCCCACACCCAGAGTACAGTGTAGTTATGGCTTTCCCCAGCTAAAAAATCCAATAGAGTTGACAGGGACTCCACCAACAAACCTGACTTTCAGTGCCAAAAAACAGTATAGGGACTGTTCACAGTGTAAGCACGTAGGATGCCGTTCATTTCAGTTCCGTTAGTGTCTTTCTTTCCAGGTTCCACTGTTGTTGGAGTCAAGAGTGCAATAAACAGGGGCACCCAACGAGAATATAGTTCAAAACCACTTAAACATAGCATTGTTGAACGTATTTCAGTATTTAAACGGTAGATATAGGCATATTTTTGTCCCCTAAAAATTTTTCATCTGTTCGGATTTCCTAGCTGAAAGTCTAGTGATCCGAAAATTATAGGCATCAAAACTTACCTTTTCGAAAATTTCAGCCAGAAGAAAGGCTTTCGAAAATTCTAGGTGACCTTTTCAGGGTAAAAATCCGTTAAAAATGGGCAATTATACCATTTTTTAGATGTTCGAAAATCCTAGGAGAGGCAGGCAAGCAAGAAATTTTACAACAAATGTTCCGAAAATTCAAGATCTCAAATCGTCTTCCGAACAGGTATTTCCCGAAAACTGACGTTGGGTGCCCCTGAATAAATACTTTATTAAAGTGTTATATGGTTGAAAAGATGTCTTTCTATTTCTGGCCAATGTTTTGGGAAGCAATTTTTTTGCTATTATTTCCTAGC